GTCACATCTGCGGACGTACCACCTGACATACTCTGCCATCCATGGCCACCAGTAGTCATGGGAGACAAGTTCCAGGGTTTTCCACTGCCCTGGGTGCCCTGTCGCCGATGTGTCGTGGTATAACTGCACCAAGTCGTGGTGGAGCTGTGGGTCCTTTGGGACATATACCTTTCCTCTGTACAGAACCAGCTCTCCCTGCTTCTCCCACTCGTCTGACTGTCAGGGACTCGTCTGGGGTCGAGGGGGCCCGAGTGTAGCGTCTGGGGCTGAGAGCCTGGCAGGGGGCGGATCGGGCATGCGTACTGACAGGCCCGATGCGGGACAGTGGTCCCTGGCCACTTAGACTGAAGTGGAAAGTTGTTATTATCATTAAAGGAGAAATATTGTACTACTTACCTGAAGTGGAAAGTTGAGAAGAAGGCTACTTCTTCGGTTCCCACTTCAGGTTCGTTTATATACATGCGGCTTAGATCACATGACGGGTGCCACGTCACCCTCGCACACAGCCGTAACCACCCGGGTATCTCCATGGGAGATCCCGAGGGCATCCGGTGCAGGCGCACGTACTGGGCACAGCGGGGAGTCGCCCGAGGTGCCTGGGCCAGGTACATGGTGGGCGTGCTGCAGATGGGTCAATGGTACATTGATACAAAGAAAGTCGTCCATGTAGAATAAAGAGAGAATAAAGAAGAAGTAAGATAGGGAGAAAGTGAGGAGGGAAGAATGAGGAGGGAGGAAGGGAAAGGGGGAGGAGGTAAGGAAGGGTGGACAGCAGGGTACCGGGTCAGGTTGGGCCGGGTGGAGCCGGGTCAGGTGGGTGTGCCCTGACACTGACCTCAGCGTGCCCTCTCCTAGTTCCTGCATTGCCTTCACCACCTTCTCATCCAGGTCCTTCACCTTGCTGATCCTCTCAAGGATAGTTATCCCTTTGCCTTCCACTAGTGGAGGAGAGTCAGCCCATCATTGTCATCTTTGCCTTTTGGGTGGTCAGTGCGGCACGAGAGCACATCGGGTTTTCCCATGAGCTTCCCTGGGCAGTGGATGAGGGTGAAGTGGAATTGGGAGAGGAAGAGTGACCACCGTGCTTGGTGCCGGTTCAGCCGTTGTGTGGTGCAGAAATATCCTAGGTTGCGGTGGTTGGTGTAGACCTCAACTTTCTCCTCCACTCCTTGTAGGAAATGCCACCACTCCTTGAGGGCGCACACTATTGCGAGCATCTCCTTGTCATACACCTCATAATTACGCTCTATGTCCATGAAACTTTTGGACATGAAGACTACAGGGTGGAACTCTCCATCTGTCTGGAGCTGGGATAGGACCATGCCAGTCGCGAAGTTAGAGGCATCGCACTCGAGTTTGAAGTGACCGGTATTGGTGGGGAAGGCGAGGACCGGGGCGGAGGTGACAGCGTCTTTGAGGGCATGGTGTAGGAGAAATAATGGTCACACTATGGAAACCCATTATGGAAATATGCCAGATAAATCACAAAACCCCATATGACAAGTAGACATGAGGTAATAGAAGAACCTGAATTTTTATGAAATTTTACGAATTATTACGACTACATACGATAAAATGGAAGAAAGAAAATTAGCAAAAATACTTCAAGCTTAGCATCAACAAGACGGAATTCTCGGGGGAATTTATAGCAAATATTAAACCAAGAATTAGGACAATCGACCAAGATTTGACTATAAAAACAGCCAGAGAACCTCCATGGAAACTACTTTCCCACATCTGCACACATAGCCAAGGATGGAAGTACCACGGAACAAGGATTCCTCAGGAACTAATGCAAAATTCAAAGTCGTGTTTATAATAGGAAATGTAGATGTCCCCCAAACGGACCCAATGAAAGTAATTACAGGGAAAACTACCCATAAACGACGGAGATATGACTGAAACCCCCGGAAAATGAGGACAACGTTTAAAAGGCAAGCGTGAAGAACAACCAGTAACGACCGAGACGAGCTTGATAGCCCATTAGAAAGGAAGGGATCTAATCTTGATTCACCCAAATTTTCATAATAAAAGGATCACGCATTAATGAGATATCCAATAACGGGAATAGCGACATTGTCATATCCATTCCCGGCCATCGACTTCCGGTCCCTCCGATCCCTCCGGTCTACCTCCGCTCCTTCTTTACTAACCTCGGAGCTCCCGTATTCCGCAATCCTCTCGGTACCCCTCGATGGTCACCACCCCCTCCTTTCAATTTATTACCTACGCCTCCCTAAGTATGGAGCCCCGAAGACTTCCGGACAGCTCCGACGTCCGCTAGCGCACTCCCACCTCCGCTGGGCAATACATTTGCCTGCCCTGCAGAGCCCACCTTCGGGCCTATCCCTCCTTTCCGTTTCTGGGTTATTGCCCACCTTTCCGTTAACCCCACGACCTGACTCATCAGTAATATTCAGTCAGCTAATGTTTAACCCCGTTAGCTCCACTCCGTTCGGCTCCGCCATTTGCGGACCCATCTTCGCTGTAACCATATATATATCCAACTTGTACATAGGTTACACTTCAGTAATAAAATCGACTAGAGTTACCCCCCTTCAGTTCTGGTCGCCAGTTAGTAAGTTAGGGCACGGACATGTTACTAGGCACAGCGCTCTTGGCATAAGTCGCTGAGGCCGAAGCCCTCCGCCACGGAGACTTTCCTTCGTCTCGAACCTGGTCTCTGACAGACATCAAAAGTCCGGGCTTAGGGAAAAGACAATGTTTACGTAGGATCCATAATTAAAACATACAACGGAATTTACACGGAAATTATGAAAAATAGGGAACTATAGTTATGCAAATTTTCAGCCCAAACGGTCCAGCCGTTGTGAAGTTATACCAACAACGGGAATACAGAAATCCGCATCCAATGCAAAGGGAACTGGCAGTCAGAACCGAGATCTGCACTTCGGCAGATCGTGAAAACCAGTTTCCATCCAAATAAAGAAAAGCCCGGTCAAAACAAAGCACGGAAAGTGCAAAACAACCTCAGATCATGAGGGAAAATTTTGAAATAAATCATGGAAGCCCATATGAAGGATACAAACACCTGCACATACCATAAATCCCGAACAATTAAACAGAAACAGCACCCACATACGAACGACTACAGGAATGACGCATGTGATTACCGAATGTGTGTGTGAACTTTTGCTAACTCGACGAATACCAGGAAATAGAACACAACTTTAGTACCATTGGAAAGGTGGGAATAAATGAAAATTTATGATACCAAGAACGTGAAAAACCATCCAGAAATGAATGAGATACAAGGACATGAAGTTAGAAACCTGAAAATGCGTGGGAAGACAGCTTCAAGAGGTCCAGAGCCCTAAATAAAATACATAAAAATATGATATCTTCGAGGACGACCTACTATAACAACGAACAATACATATGGAGGATTCGGATGTGATAATACAAAGGGGAATCAGGGGAGATGAACGAAATCCACAAAAACCACTAAACTATGATGGACCATGGCAGGAATTTTAGGGAACGATATTCTAATGAAGTGGAGAGCTATAATACATTTGTTTGAGTAATTCTTGACTACTAGCAACCTTTTCTTTCAGTTCTAAACCTGAATAATTCACTCATTTACCATTTCAAGTCTCATTTTAACTAAATGTCACTGGATAAAAATGGAATAAATCAGCTGAAGGTCTCAGCGCAGCCATATGCATAGTAATGCGAAGTTTGAATTCAGAATCACCGAGTCATAGCGATTTTAATGGTAAATATGAGGAATTTGAAATAGGAAACTGTGACAAATTGTCAGGGCAATAGCCCCGAACCCCGAGTCACATGTAAATTAGATACATATAGTCACGTGGGCAAGCGGGAACCTCCGGGTAACTGCTTACACACCACCGTAAAATACACTATCTTGTATCACTTACGGCCTTGTGTGCTGAGCCACCCTAAGACCTCACACAAATGCAGCGCAGTCAAGTTCTAATTAACCATTAAAATAATTTAGGCGAGGAAGGACAATAAGGATTCTAGGTGCAGTCTGACCGCAGTAGAGCCGCAGTTCAGCACAGTAGAACTATAGCGTGAAAATTTCATTTTTTATTCAGTTTGAGAAAAATACACTGTAAATAAATCCTGTAAATACGAGGTAGGGCATGAAAAAGGAAGGCGACCCAAGGAGTATAAAAGGGAGACCCTTTGTGCGACTTTTCGCCCCCCCCCTCAGAGAAGTAAGAAAATAGAGTATTATTTTTCTCAAGCATTTCTGGTTGTCACTCCAGCACGAAAAAGTGATATACAGTTAAGATTGCCACTGTAGCAAGAGGCAGCAATTAAGGAGAGAAATATTAAGTAGATATTTCAACAGGAGAGCTGGTTAACACTCCAGATTTCAAAGTGTAAACACAAAACAGTTATTTTGCTACTGTTAAAACAAGCAATAAAATAAGACAAAAATAAAAACAAACTCAAGGGACACTCCAGACACAATCTAAATCATTAACTGAGTAGAATCTTTGAAACTTCACCAAGTAGAAGATTTAATTCCAGTTAAACTCCAAATTAAACGATCCTACACAGAATTACACCCAGACAAATTGAGAAATTACAATAAAGGAACAGCTCCGCAGGGCTTTGTTTATCTGTAAGTCAATTCCCAGAAACTTTTAGACTAACCCATAAAAATGGAATTAGCCAAAACACTCGGATTGGTACTATAATTACAACAAATATTACTACAGTTGAAACCATGATAGGCCATACCTGAGATAACCCATAACCTGCCATAACCCATAGGAATTTCCGGGAACCGCTACGGTTCCTATCAAAAACCAGACCCTAACCCATAAACCTGCCATCCCCCATAACCCATAACATGAATGGGAATTTTTATATTGAAATTTGATCCGTAACCCATAGTATAAGTGACACTGACATGTAATATTGAAAGGTTAATATGGAATGATGGGGAACGGCACGGAAAATATTATGAAAAATGCGCACCTATCCCCCAACAGCACACTATGCCAAACCCCATGTTGTCCTCTCTTGAGAATGGTCTTGCCGCTCTTAGGAATGATGCTCAGCCGCTCATTGACAAGCTAAAAGCCAAACTTGCCCCCAGGATACCAATCACTGATGAAGAGGAAGCATGGCTGGATCACAACACAAATTTCACTGATGAGGCCATGCTCATTGCTGAGCTTCAGGATGCAGGGGACTTTCAGAGCGCATTTGGATCGCTTTCAGCCAGCCAGAGGGCAATTGCTCAGCGCCTGCAAACTGCAAGTGCACCTAAAAATCAAAATTTGGAGAGAGTTGCCAATGCCGCACCGGAGACTGAGTGTAAATTCAACCCAAACTTGAAGCATGAGTGTGCAACATGATGGTTGGAGAACTGTACATTGAAAGGATGCCCAGGCTCTCGAAAATCTGTTACAAATACAACTGAAGAGCCCTTGGCAAAGAAGGGACCAGTCTTCACTCATAAAGAGATTGCCACGCTCTGGCAACGCATCGAGATTCTTGATTGGTATCACAAGAATGGGACCAACCAATCCAAAACAGCCAAGCATTTTGAGCCAATATACCCCAACCTCAGGGTCAAGCAGCCTCTCATCTCTTCTTGGGTGAAAAATGAGGCCAAACTTCACAAGGAATACCAGAGGTCAGACACAGCCACAAAGTTCAAGCGGACCCAACATACAACGTTCCCTATGGTCACGGATATGTTGGAGCTATGGGCCACAGCTGCAGAGGAGAGAGGGGTGGTCCTCACTGGAGACGTACTCCGAGCTAAATTTCAGCAATTTTCTGACCATGCCGGTATTGCACGTGAGAATCAGCTCAAGCTGAGCAACGGGTGGCTGGAATCCATTAAGAACAGGCTTGGCCTCCGCTTACATGTACGCCACGGTGAAGCCGGCCCAGCTAGCCCTGAAGCTGTCACTGCTGAACGGGCATGCTTGCAGGAACTTTTGTCTGGGTATTCCCTTGGGGATATCTTCAATGGTGATGAGATGGGACTTTATTACTTGTGAGTTGCCAAACTGGACCCTCTCCCAGCAGTCACTCAACCAGAAATGATTCTCAGTATGCCACCAGACAAGGGCTTAAGTAAAGGCTCAATCCCTGGATTAAGGGGAAATAAAGTGCAGTTGACCTACTTTTTTGTTGCTAATGCAACGGGTTCCGAGTGCCGCCCCCCCCTCATCATTGGTAAAGCATTCAAACCCCGATGTTTCAAGAAGAAAAGTGGCCATGAGCTTGGCTTTGACTACAAGAACAACGCCAAGGCCTGGATGACTTCAGCAATCTACTCGATGTACCTTAGACAATGGGATGCGGAACTTCACACTCAAGGACAGCATGTTATCTATCTGCACGACAACTTCTCAGGTCACACCATACAAGATGATCTTACCAACATACGATGTGAATTTTTCGCACCAAATCTAACAGCACATGTGCAGCCAATGGATGCTGGGATCATTTGCTGCTTCAAGGCACATTATCGGAGCCAATTCATCAGTCATGCAATCGATCATTATGATTCTGGAGTGACACCAGGCAAGGTCTATGATATTGACCAGCTTGAAGCAATGCGTTTAGCACAAACAGCTTGGATGGAGGTCACACCAGACACTGTCCGCCACTGCTGGGTGAAGGCTGGAATCCTGCCCTCATGCAGGCAGGTGGAGAGGGTGGCTGTGCCTGTGTCAATGCTCATTGATTCAATGGACCCAATTATTGCTGCCAATTCTCGTGTGGAGGAAGGCTTGGACAATCTCCAGTCAGCTGGAATCCTTAATAGAAGAAATAGGATGAGTATCGTGGAACTGGTAAACAACCCATCAGAGGTCATCCACATTGAGAATGTCTCTGATGATGACATCTTCAATGCCGTGTCTGAGGCCTGGAGAAACAAGGAAATAGACGGTGTAGTGGAAGGGGACTGTGATGTTGATGATCCTGATGATGATGTGCCAATTGTCTCACATCAAGAAGCTCTTCAGGCAGCACTTCTGCTGCGGACTTACACCAAACAAATGAACACTTCTTTTGCACAGAAGATGGAAGCCACCTTGGCCCAGTTTGGACATGAGACTCGCCACCAAGCCCAATCATCACTCCAGAGCAGCATGCTTGACTCCTTCTTCAAGGGGATTGCATAGAGGAGCTCAGTAGACATTTGTGTATATACATGAATTGACCTAATCCATTGCAGAGAAAAATTTCCGGCGATATTGAGATACCCCATAACCTGCCATAACCCATACTAGGATCCGGGAACACAAGGGTATGGGTTATCACGGTTTCAACTGTAGTACACTTCCCCATCCTAACTAAAGAACCAGGGAACAGCTTGGTGGTGGTCTCATTTGAACCTCCCAACTGACCTTCCTTCGTTCTCTCCTTCAATGGAATGCATGGTCTTCGCCTGGTCCCCAGGCCCATGCCTTGGTTTTGCAGGTCAATGCGTGGAGGGGTTGGGCTGTCTCGGAAAAGTCTTTGATAAACCAGTGATAGAAGTTGACAAACCCCAAGAAGGACCGCACTTCTTTGACCTTGGTTGGGGTTGGCCAATCAAGAACTCCATGGACTTTCACAGGATCCATCGCGACGCTTCCCTCAGAGATGATGAGGCCAAGGTACTCAATCCGCTTCTGTTCAAACTTACACTTCTCTGGCTTCAGGAAGAGTCTCTGCTTCTGCAATGTCTCCAGGACCTCTTGGACAACCCTCCAGTGCTCCTCCAGGGTGGCAGTGAAAATCAAGATGTCGTCCATGTAACAGATGATGACCTCTTGGTCGATGAAGTCTTGGAGAATGTCGTTCATCGTTGTCTGGAATGTCGCCGGGGAGTTACACAGGCCAAAGAACATCATGGTGGGCTCAAACAGTCCCCGGTTGGTCAAAAACACTGCTTTCCACTCATCGCCATCCTTGATGCGGATGTTGTTAAATCCCCAGCACAGATCTAGCACCGAGAAGTACTTGGCATTTCGGAGGCAGGCGAGGACGTCCGAAATGAGTGGGAGGGGGTATGAGTTTTTGACCATGATCTCGTTGAGCTTTCGGTAGTCTTGGACTAGGCACAACGATCTGTCCTCCTTCTTGATGAAGAAGACCGGTGCTCCCATTGGGGACTTGGATGCCCATAGCACCCATTCTGCAGGTTCTCGTGCAGGAACTCGTCTAGTTCCTTCTGCTCTGGTCATGACAGGGGGAAGGTCCTCCCTCTCAGGAGTTTGGCATCCAGCACTAGGTCTATTGCATGGTCCCAGGGCTTCCACAGGGGCAGCTGGTCAAAGGCCTCCTTTGAGGATACGTCTCAGAAGTCCTGGTACTGTTCTGGGACTAGCGCCTCAAATGGCACAGGCTCCGCCTCTGGTTCATGGGCTTCCTGGGCCATCTGCTGAGATGGTGTCGTGGCCGCTCTCAGTTCATGTCCCCACCCTGGGGGGATGATAGCAGCGTAAATCCCGTCCCTGGGCTCCACTGTGGGGTCTGGGTCGGCATGTCTTTGCATTGACCAGCAGGAGGATGGGCAGTGGGACATAATGACCTTTTGCTGCATCCAGTCCACCTCTGGGTTGTGGTGGAGGAGCCATGAGTGTCCTATGATGAGGGACTGCTGCCCAAGGTTTGCGACAGTGAAGTGGGCCCACTCTGTGTGCTGTCTGAATGTCAGTAGGGCTTCCAGTTCCTCATTTATGGCCCCATTCTCGTTTGGGGTCCCATCGACGTTGCAGACAGGAATGGGCTGGGGGAGCGGGGTCGTCTTGAGCCCATGCTTTCTGACAAACTCGGGGCTTACAAAGTTCCCAGTGGCTCCCGAGTCTAGGAGGGCTGACACAGAGACAGTGGCGAGGGAGGTCAGGGTGGTCAGCTTTACAGCTAGGTTGAGGGATCTGGGGGGTTGCTTGGACAGCATGTAGATGGTGGGTGGTGGGACCGCTACCTCCGGTGCTGCACTTGGTGTTTCTCTGCCCTTACTGATCGAGGACATGGTTTTCCTCTTTTTCTTGGCGATGACTTGGTGGAATTTGGACGTCAGCACCAGCTTGGGCACCTCACGGTATCTACATGAGCTAGTACTATCGCCTACAGGTGGCTGGGATGCGTCCCTCACTGGTCACCTTCCTGAAAATCCTCTTGGGCCTCTACCTCCTGCCCTTCTCCTCCATCCATCTCTGGTTCATCCACTAGCTGCCTTCTCAGCCCCTCCATGAGCACCCTGAGGTCCTCTGGGTGCATCCATCTGACTCAGCGGACTTTCAGTTGCAGGCAGTCTCATGCGATGTGCCCCAGTGCATTGCAGTTGTAGCACAGCCCATTTCATCTTTGGTCTATCCTCGAGCAGTTGAGGTCCATGGGTTGTGGCCCTCCCCCTGCCACAGGGCAGGCCATGGGAGGCAGTGGTGCAGCGGCAGCTGGGGGGTGTGGCGGTGCAGGGACTGGGTGTGCTTGCAGGAAGGTGGTAGGAAGTGGGGGTCTTGCGGGTGGGAGTTGGGGCCTGACTGGGGGCAGGCAGGGTTGCATTGCCTGGAAGCATCGCCACTGGTTGTCAAGGAGGGTGGCCTCACGCTTCCACTCAGCCCAAGTCGTCAGCATGGGGCGGAGGCGGTAGATGCTCTCTCAGAGCTGGGAGTTGATCGCCTGTTCGAAGCAGTCTACCAGCCCCACATCTCCTAGCCGCGAGGCAGGGCTGAGGATCTCGAACTCTTGGATGACCTTGTCCACAGAGTCGGTGCCCTGCCACAGGGTGGCCAGCTTCTGCCTGGCCATGGCTTCGCGGTTCGGGTCTTGGAACATGGTGTTGAGTTCCATGTTGAACTCATCCATGGTGAGCCTGGGGGAGCCCATTGTCAACAGCGTGATGGTGCATTGTGTCACCCAAGCCCCTGCAGTCCCTCCCTTCATGTAAGATAGGACGAAGAGGATTTGGGAGAGGGTGTTGGGGAACTTCGCTGCCCGGACATGGAAGTATATGCCGCATTCAGCTTTGAAGCGGTCAAGGTCTTCAGTTGCTCCAGAGAAGGGGGTGGGGGGGGCAACTCTAGGCAGTTTGGGTCTGGGGGCGGGTGTGGGTGCTGGTGGGGGCGCCAGCGCCAGTGTGGGTGCAGCTGGGGGTTGGTTCTGGGCTTGGCTCTCCACGATGGCCTGGAGCTCTTGGAATCAGGCCAGCAGCTCATCGTACTGCTCTTCAGTCACCATAGCAGGAGAGGTGGGGGAGGTGGGGGAAATGAGGTTAAAGCCTTCTTCTGCTGTCAGGGACAGCTCCGAAAGCAGCGAAGTCCCGGCGTGCAGGACTCGATGGGATGAGTAGTGGCTATGCATAGCAGCGGTCCCGTTGCAGGGTGAGCATCCCCAACCACTTAGT